TCTGACCAGTATTTGGAGGACCAATTTCACTAGGTCAGGTTGATTTTAGGTCAGTTTGGAGCTTCTCAAGGATAGCAAATGCACAATGCTGAGGGCATTGTTCAGGACAAGGGACTATCACTCAGCTGTTTGATTATATAGTTTCAACAAATATAATACTACAACAAGGTGGTTACCTTTTAGTTTGCATAAGAATGTGAGTTCATATAGATCTCATAAACTTAGATTTTTAAATGAAGATGTTAGTTCTTCTACTGAGTTAAATGTTAAAAGGATTGCTCCTGGTTCTTCCTACAGAAACAAAGGACTTTCCTCTCTGGACAGTGAAGATCTGTGTCTCCAGGAGGGAAAAAACCCAAGTTCTAAAGGGATCAGTGCTGAAGGTCGCCATTCTTCTGCAGCCCTCCGCCAGGAGGTAGAAAGGAACGGGGACCAGGATGCGGTGAGAGCTGGGACAGTCAGTCCCATTTTGTGATACACAGGGTAGCACTTGCTGACACCCAGTCCAAGCAGTTGGGAACTTCTTGATATGGTAGGCTTTGCAGAATCCAGGATGCTATTGAGCACATCGCTAGTGGGCAGTAGAAGAAACTAAGACCGGTGTCATTTAGAGGCAGTGGAGAGTGTCCTTGCAGCCTGATGGAGCCACATAGTGGACTTCCCAGATGGTCTAGTATTTCCTTGGCTCCTGAGTTGACTCCTGATTGGGTAATCTGTCTACCACCTCTACCCTCTTTCTCTGATTTACCTGTAGTCAAGAAAAAAATTGTTTCTTTTAATTCAGATCAAGAATTAGTTTTAAAAAGGGTCAATACTAAAAGCAGTAAGGAAAGAAGGAAAGTAACAGCTCCCAAATGTAGACTGCCTAGAGATACAGGTGTGCATAGAGACTTCAATCCCATGGGAACTCCAGTGCTGTGGTGTCCTGTGACAGAGCTAGTCTGACACAAGTAGGTCTAGAGGGTACTATTACACTTCAGTTTCCCTTCCCATCGCTGGGTCCTGTACGATGGGGACAGTCTCTTCTCCGGGGAGATTTATTTTATCCATTCCTGAGAGTTTACTAAACCTGTCAGCACTCTGTTTTACCATCTTTGCCTGTCGTTGTTTAGTTCTTTTTTCCATGTGGTTGCTTACTTTGTACCCTACCTTAACAAATACCTGTTCTGAGTCAGGCAGTATGTAAGGGGCTGGATCCATAATGGTGAACTGCAGGGAAATCTCTGCTTTTGTTGAGCTTTTGATGGTAAAGAAAGAGAACAATCAAAATAAATGTAGAACAGGTGAGTTGATGAGTGAGGAGGAGAAAGTTAGATAAGGACAGCAAAGAAGGGGATGGATGAGGACACCATTTTAAATGGAGAAACTAGGAAAGGCTTCCTGGAAGAGATGACATTGTTCAGTGGCCTTAGAAACTGAGGATGGAATGGGAATAATGGAGCACATCTTCAATTCCAGTACTTGGGAAGCAGAGACAGGAAGACCTCTGTGAGTTCAAGCCCAGCCTGGTCTATATTGAGTTCTAGGACAGCCAGGGCTACACAGAGAAACCCTGTCTTGAAAAAAAAAAAAAGGAAAGGAGCTGAGGGTGGGCCATGGAGAGTCTTAGGGGGAAGCACATCCAGGGAGAAGATTGACACAGCAGCTTGAGAGGGGAATGAGGCTGACAAGAAGGGACTGGAGAGAGGTAGATACCACTCGGAAGCCATTCAGAGGTTTTGATTATACACATACCTAAGTGACTTTGGGGGAAGGTTTTTTCTTTATTTTCCTTTTTTTTTTAAATTGGTTGTTGTCTAGTTTCTTAGAGACAGCATTTCATGGTTTCATGTATCCTAGACTGGCCTTGAACTCTTTATATAGCTAAGGGTAGCCTTGAATTCTTCATCCTTTTGCCTCCACCTCCCACATGCTAGGATTACAGGTGTGCACCATGACACCTGACAAAGTGACATTATAAAAGAAAACATGGCTGCTTTGTAGCCAGTTATATGCAGGCCAGAACAATCTGGCTGGTAGACCAGGGCACTGGATCAGGAGCATAGTAACTTGATGTCTAGTGATGGCCGTGTGGTCATGGGACCTAAGGAGAGAGCAAGACAACAAAGCTATTAGTGTTCGACATGAGAAACGAGTGAAAGCAAGAAACCAAAGACAACTGTGTTCTTGAGGTTTTTGTCTTGAGGAGTCTGGATGGACGATGGTCCTACTTCTGATTATAGAAGTTGGACTGGAACTTGGAGAGATTAAGGAAGAAGTACAAAGATGAGGTAATGCTTCCTGGGGCTAAATTAAATTTCCTGCATATAACTGGCTACAAAGCAGCCATGTTTTCTTTTATAATGTCACTTTGTCAGGTGTCATGGTGCACACCTGTAATCCTAGCATGTGGGAGGTGGAGGCAAAAGGATGAAGAATTCAAGGCTACCCTTAGCTATATAAAGAGTTCAAGGCCAGTCTAGGATACATGAAACCATGAAATGCTGTCTCTAAGAAACTAGACAACAACCAATTTACCATTCCAATGTACACTTATAGGATATGACTATTGAGTAATTTAGCCTTTTCTCTAGCTGTTCATCAGGATGTAGCCCAATGGAGAGTATTTACCTATCATGTGCGAAATTCAGTCTCCAGCAGTCTCTTTCTTAAAAAAGAAACAGACGAATAAGTAAGGAAGTAGTTAAGCATGTTCTGTAAAGGTAGTTTCCCCTAGCCTAGGTGTCCTCAGATGCTAAGTGTAATCAGAATACAAAGGCTCTCACTTCTATAGTTAGCATGACTAAGTGACAGAATGACTGTGTGCTCCTCCTAGCCTGGAATTTGCTGTGAAGACCAGGTGGGCCTCAAATCCACAGATCTCTGACAGCTTCTGTCCCTGGAGTGCTAGGATTAAAGGAAGCTCTCTCTCCCTTTCTCCCTGCCCCCCCCCCTCTCTCTCTCTCACACACACACACACACACACACACACACACACACACACACGGGTTCTTGAAGACTCATCTTCACACATTTAGAACGTAACATTTTCTCCCTAACAGATACCAATACTAAAATCAAGTGTATTTTAGTAATATTCAGCTGTATTTAGCAACATTTATCTTTTACCTCAACCTCCCAGAGGAACTGTGCAGTGGGCAGGTTACGGTATAATCTGAAGGTCAAAGGAGATATGAGGTTGGACGTGCATAATGTAATTTGAAGTCACAAGATAACCTGAGAATGAGTTTCCAAAGGGCTGATGGCTAGATTCTGTGAGTAGTGTCAACTCTGGCCAGAATGACTTTGGGGGATCAGCTCCCATAGCCAAGGAACTTTCTGGTCCTGTAACCCTTTATTACTATGTCACACTCAACTCCTTTGTTACTTTCAAAAGGTTGTGACAACCACACATCCTGATTCCTGATCTGAACAAGGACCCACAAAAGAAGGCTGCTTTAGACGAAGTTACCTGCTGGCAGGAATCCTTCTGAGGCGAACCAAGGAAGAAACATAAGAATTATTCTGTTCTCTACAATAAACTTCTTTTGATATAGAGTTCAGTGCCTGTGATGATTAAGAAATTACAATGTAAAAAAACCAAAACAAACAGAAAAACCGGATGTGGTGGTGCATGCCTTTAATCCCAACACTTGGAAGGCAGAGGCAAGTGGCTCTCTGTGAGTTTGAGGCCAGCCTGGTCTACAGGATGAATTCCAGGACAGCCAGGAATACACAGAGAAACCCTCTCTTGAAAACAAAAACCAAAACAAAAAGAAATGACATTACATTTTCCCAAAAGTGTATTTTCCTCTGAAATTAAAATGTTCACAGAAGGGGCCAACAAAAAGAGCCATCTTCCTGAATGTCTGTCTCAGTTCACTTGGTTTGTGACTAAGTTATTCTTTCTGCCTAGGATTCCTGAAATTGAGCTTTAAGATATCAATTGTATTGTCATATTTTATTGCAATGCCATATTTATTATTTGCCTTATTCCAGGAGTATTCTAGGCTCTTGCCTCCAATCTACACATGGTTCCAGGTGAAAAACTCAATTAAAAATTGTGAAACATTATATTGTGGGAAATTTCAGAAAAGTATATACAAATAGAGATAACTGTGTAAGAGACCCTCATCTACTCTCAATAAAGAAAATTTTATGGTCTGTCTTCACTTACTTTTCAACCACAACAGATTGTGTCCTAGATATGTTTTCAAAAAACACCTGTCCAGGTAGTAGCGAGTGGACTTCTTTTCTTGCCGTCTTTGGATGGGAATGGCAATTCCAAATACTTCCCAAGTCCTCAGAGCCTCGACCCGTAGGGGCCTATCTGGATGCAATCCTTCCTTTCAGAGGCCGATGCAGGAGGAGCACAAGGTCCAGGCCAGACCTATTACATAGGCTTAAGATGAAATATAAAAGGTTTCAGATATTGTTACATTACATATTTTCACAGTATTTAATATTTGTCAGGTGTGCACTATTTGCTATCATGACACATTAAACACTACATTTGTATTTATAATTTTATTTTTCATATTAAACTACTAGCATTATAAGCTTCAACCAGGGACTGTGGCATCCTTGCACACCCACAAGCTGAGGAGAAACACCTTCGAGAGGCAAGGGAGAGGTGTAAAGACAGTGCTCTAGTTTTCTGTCAGCGCGCCATTCCAGGGACGTTGGTGTCGCAGACCACGTGACCCTGCTTCGCACTTCGACAGGGCCCGAGACACCACCCACGGGAACTGACGGAGGCAGGCTGCAGGGTGCCCAGGGTAGAAACCAGCCAGAGAGCAGCCCGACCCTGAGGCGGCCTGGGAGGCCTGTGGGTCGGAGGTAACCAGATCAACGCAGGAGAATCCATCTGAGGGGAGGGGAGGCCTGTGAGCCTGAGGCGACCAGACCACTGCAGGAGCGTCCATCTGAGGGAGAGTAACTGGCCACTAAGAGCTTCCATCTGAGGAGGCCACCCTTACCCACTCAAGATGCCATCAGCCCAGGAGCATCCATCTGAGAGGAAGCCTGCAGCCTGAGGGGCCACCCTTTCCTGCTGAGGGCCATCACCCTCAGCCCGAGGCTATGCATCCTGTGTTGACTCCTGCTTTGGTCCCCACGACAGCGTGGGAAGCGCAGTGAGGCACACTCGGGTCTCTAGGACACAAGAAAGAGGAGCTGAGTCCCTAAGAACCCTGCTTTTTCCACATCGATACAATAAGTTCCTCAGTTTTTCTTGCTCAGAGATTCTATTATTTATGGCTGCCACAAAAACTTGGAACTGCAATGACTATTTCAGTGTGGACAAACTAATGGAGTGGCCAGAGCCGGAGTCTGTTTCTTTAATGGAGGTAACAGCATGGCTTTCCCCCCTTTCTTTTCCTTTTTCTTCCTTCCTTCCTTATTTCTCCCTCCCTTCCTCCTTCCCTCTCTTCCTTCTCTCTTCCCTTCTTCCTTTTTCATAAGAAGCAAGATAATGTAAATGGAGGAGACCAGTGATAGCTCCAATTGTGAATCCACTATCAAGATTGGTCTGGCTTAAAAAGGACTTAAAGGTTTGATTTTTAAGATGTTGTCTTTCCATGAGACGCACAATTCCTTGAGTTTATAACCAGTTTGGTCTCAATCGCCCATCTGTTTCCAGTATTAGAACAGTTCTTCTTGGCTTAGATTGGGTAGTCAGTGAGTGGGAGCACCTGGGTTCAGATTTGGCCAAAAGCCATCCTGAAGGAAAGACGGCACCAGCTGGCTGCCAGGCAGGTAAACACGAGTCAAATTTGGCCAAGGCGCTTCAGTTTCATGGGATTCTATGGTTTGCCTCATTAGAAAGCAAGCTCTTGAGAATTGATCTTGCCCCCTCTGTCATGGTGACAGGAAGAGTTGTGAAATGTGAGTTCACTATTTTTGTGTTTGTGAGCAGCGGATTTCAGAGGAGCTGCTTCGGATGATTAGTGTGTCTATATTTTCTAAAAATAAAATTGCAAAGAATGACTTATCAATGACAAAGACTATCTAGATCTCTCTTTTTTTAAAAAAATTAAGTTGCATTGTTTTTTTTTTTCATTTTCTATTCTATACTTTTTTTGAGACAGGGTTTCTCTGTAGCTTTGGAGTCTGTCCTGGAACTAGCTCTTGTAGACCAAGCTGGCCTCAAACTCACAGAGATCCGCCTGCCTCTGCCTCCCAAGTGCTGGGATTAAAGGCGTGCGCCACCACCACCCATTATATTGGTTTATAGGCATGTGCTTGCAGAAGGCAGACACACAGATGATGTAGCATGCATTTGGAAGCCCTTCCATGGATCCCTGGAATTAAACCCAGGTGGTCAAGCATGGTAGCAAGTACTTTTACCAGCTGAGCTCTCCTGACAGCCTCTCTCAGATTATTATTATTATTGTTACTATTATTTTATTTATTTATTTAATAGTAGACCTAGCTGGCCTTGAATTTGCTATGCAGTGTGGGAAGTCCTTCTGTATATGTGTTGTTTTTTATTGGTTAATAAAGAAGCTGCTTTTGCATATTTAACAAGTGGTGCTGGCATAACTGGATATCAACATGTAGAAGAATGAAAATAAACCCATATCTATCACCATGCACAAAACTCAAGTCCAAATGGATCAAAGACCTCAACATAAAGCCAGCCACACTGAACCTCATAGAAGAGAAAGTGGGAAGTACACTTGAACGCATTGGCAGGAGACCACTTCATAAATAGAACCCCATCAGCACAGACACTGAGAGAAACAATCAATAAATGGGACTTCCTGAAACTGAAAAGCTTCTGTAAAGCAAAGGACACAGTCAACAAGACAAAACGACAGCCTACAGAATGAGAAAAGATCTTCACCAACCCCACATCAGACAGAGGTCTGATCTCCAAAATATACAAAGAACTCAAGAAATTGGACGTCAAAAGATCACATAATTCAATAAAAAAAAAAATGGAGTACAGACCTAAACAGAGAACTCTCAACAGAGGAATCTAAAATGGCTGAAAGACACTTAAGGAAATGTTCAACATCCTTAGTCATCAGAGAAATGCAAATCAAAACAACTGTGAGATTCCATCTTACACCTGTAAGGATGGCCAAGATCAAAATCACTGATGACAACTTATGCTGGAGAGGTTGTGGGGGAAAGGGAACACTCTTGCATTGCTGGTGGGAGTGCAAACTGGTACAGTCCCTTTTGATGTCAGTGTGGCGATTTCTCAGAAAATTAGGAAACAACCTTCCTCAAGACCCAGTAATACCACTTTTGGGTTTATATTCAAAGGATGCTCAATCGTGCCATAAGGACATGTGCTCAACTATGTTCATAGCAGCATTGTTTGTCATAGCCAGAACCTGGAAACAACCTAAATGCCCCTCAACCAAAGAATGGATAAGGAAAATGTGGTACATTTACACAATGACTACACAGCAGAAAAAAATAACAACAGACTGAATTTTGCAGGAAAATGGATGGAGCTAGAAAACATTATTTTGGATGAGGTAACCCAGACACAGAAAGACAATTATCACATGTACTCACTCTTAGGTGGTTTTTAAACATAAAACAAAGAAAGCCAGCCTACAAACCACAATTCCAGAGAACTTGGACAACAATGCGGACACTGAGAGAGACTTACATAGATCTAATCTACATGGGAAGTAGAAAGTGGAAAAAGACAAGATCTCCTGAGTAAATTGGGAGCATGGGGACCTTGGGGGAGGGTTGAAGAGGGGAGGGGAGAGGCAGGGAGGGGAGCAGAGAAAAATATAGAGCTCAATAAATATCAATAAAAAAATGTATTTAAAAAAAGAAGAAGCTGCTTTTGGCCAATGGCTTAACAGAACATAGCCAGGCTAAAAGAGCTGCTGCTGGAGACCGCCAAAACTTTGACCGGTAGGCCACAACCTCATGGTGATGCACAGATTAATGGAGATGGGTTAGTTTAGGATGTAAGAGTTCATCAATAAGAAGCTAGAGCTAATAGGCCAAACAGTGATTTTATTAACACAATTTCTGTGTGATTCTTTCAAGTCTGGGTAGCCAGGAACAAAAGAGCAGCCTCCACCAACAGGTGTGCAGATCAGGCTGGCCTGGCACTTACAGAGATCCTAGCTCATCTCCAGAGTCTTAGGAGTAAAAGTGTGTGCCATCCTACCTTTCTGACTTTATTTTTAAATAAAGAAGGTTGTTGACCAAGAGTACATATGACATTAGATAATTTACTTAAAATCTTACAAAGAAGGCTAAAGTTTTTCGCAATGATACTTATCCGCATTTTTGTTAGTACTCTAAATAGTGATTATTCTACTTTTATAAGAAAAAAAATACTTTTCCCATTGGCATCTTGAGATAAATCTGAGCAGGCTTTAAAGTAAGATTGTATATATTCTAGAACTTACACTGGAGAAGACCCAGCTAGTTGTTCAGATACAACTTCCGATTTCATGTGAGCATATTAAATTGTGGATGGAAAATACAGCACTCCTTTTGAGACTTCTATTGTTTATGGATGTGTTTGAGTTTGGGATTTAGCTGGTCTTGATGCATCCAATGAGGTAGAACAGGAGGAAGAGCCATGATGGAATAACAAACTCTGAGAAACCAATAGTAAGAGTTTCACGAGAGGCCATTATTTTAGAACATACTGTATCTCTTCCAGACACTGGCCTCACAGTGCCTTTTCATTTGTTCCTCTGTAGTAATTCAAGGATGAAAGCTGGTCCATACTGACGCAGCTGAAAAAGCACCAGACTGAGGGTTTAGTGCATCAGCTTTCTCTAAACTCAAAATGCAAACAGCAAGCTTCCACACCAGCCCTGCGACTCTGGGCCAATTTCACTAAGTTGAATTTTCTGCTTTTTGAGTACAGTTGCACTAAATTGAGCTTTCTGAGTTTTGCTATTTGTTCTTTCCCAACTTCCCAGACCCAAAATAATCACACAGAAACTATATTAATTATAACACTGCTTGACCAATAGCTTAGGCTTCTTATTAACTAACTTTTACATCTTAAATCAACCCATTCCTATTTTTTTCTCAGCTTCTTAGGTGCGATATTTTGTATTTTACCATCAGACTCATGGTTTACTGGTAAAGTTCTGTCTCTTTTGGCAGCTACACGGCGTCTCTCTGACTCTACCTTCTTTTCTCCTCTATCTCTGTTTGGAATTCCTGCCTTTATCTATTCTGCACTGCCATAGGTCCAAAGCAGATTCTTTTTTAACCAATGGTAATAAAACATATTCACAGTATACAGAGGGAAGTCCCACATCATCTCCCCTTTTCTGTCTAAATAAAAAGGAAAGTTTTAGCTTTAACACAGCAAGATTACATACAACAAAACAGATATCAAGCAAGAATTATAGTTACAATATTTAGTTTATTTATATTTGTCAAATTAAGGAAAATACTCTACCATCTATTCTATCTTTGTGAGTCTAAAGTTTTATAACTTATTTACCTTTTATAATTATAACTATCTTTCTTCAATTCCATCAAAGACTCCAGGAGGATATAATATTAGCTAAGTAAACAGGAAGTGCATTGTAAGCAACTACCAAAGCTCTAGAATTAACAGAGACATCTCACTGCCTGTATAGTCACCCAAAGTTCTTCTGTAACATTGGGGCATCCATCTTCAGCCTACAGGCCCACAGTATCCTGCAGACTTTTACATGAAGCAGAAAATTTGAAAGACTGTTTCATCTCTATTGGCAGTTTGTCAGTCACTTTCTTCTGTATCCTGCAGAATGTCTGGCAGACTCTTTCATGAAGCAGGAACCCTGAAGCAGTTTCACCTTTAGGCAAGTTCAACAGTCATTTTTCTGTGGGTCCTGCATGTCCAGTTTATACAGCATAGCATCAAGGAGCTTCTTTGATGCCCATCTTCCTCTTGAAGTAGATTGATGCTGCCATAAGCAGATATGTCTCACTGTTGAGAAAAGTCTAAGTTTTAAAACACTTTAAATGCCATATTCTATAGGTCTTTGAAAGGCTTGAAGAATATCTATCCATCTGAAATACATCTCTGCACATCTAGAAAACCTAATATGACTACAAGCTTGACTATTATAAATGACTATTAACCTGTATTTCTTAATTATACATTACATTTTTAAATAAGTTGTATAAACACAATACTTTAGTCAAGAGCATATATATATATGTGTGTGTGTGTGTGTATATATATATATATATATATATATATATATATATAAAGCTGACCTTAAATTTCTATCAATAAACCAAGATCCATACCAATGCAAAGTATTCATTTCTATATCATATCCCCCTTTATGTGTAAGCAAACATTTATAAACAATATTTGGGAATTTGGGCATAGTTCCCTCCAAACTGCTTCCTGCTTTTTGATGGGCAAAGTATTTTGGGGGAAGGGGTTCATGAAGACCTTTTGGGGGGTATCTTAGTTCCTCAAACCACATTAGTCTGGAAGGAATCACAGGTTCTCATTCTCTGTGGAAATAAAAAAAGAACCTCTTTTCCAAAGTAACATATCCTTAGACCCAAATTTTGAAGTCAAGATTCCTTTAAAATAAATATGTTGGTTTAGCTTAGAAGGCTGTACAATAACATGCCTCTTTGCACTCAGCTCATTTACAGCCAAAAAATTAAAGAAAAACGATAATATGCATATCAGATTCTCTGTGTATTTTCCATCTTTACGTGGATTATTTTTCTTTACTCCTTTCATCTATGACTGTCTTTACTCTGCCTTTTTAAAGACTTTACTTTTTAAAAAACCATTTACTTCTTTTTACAACTATTTTTTCTCTCTCCCAAGCCTACATACATTTATCCAACACTGTGACATATTTAGAGGTTTTCTTCATCTGAGTTTGTCTTTATTGCATGTGTAATTATTTTCTGACCAGGAGCACTTTTGTTTTAATGCTAAGCGGGTATGGCTAGAACCAACTCTGAGGTCCTGCTTGTTGACTTTGCCCAGTCCAACATAGCAGAGACATGTTCACTGCCTCTGAGAGCCATGCACACTTCCCCAGCTTTAGGGTCGCGGCAGGTCTATGTCACCATTAAGCAATTTGTAACATGCTGCTCACAGGTCTCATTTAAGTGCTTGGCCTCCTAAAAGAGCCAGAGCTATTAGTGCTGCCAGCATGAACCAGGATATCACCATTACTTATGCTGAATCAGTAAGTCTTTTCTTAAAGGAGCCATGGTGCCCCTATTTGCCACCAGCAAACAGAGCCCATATATATATATATATATATATATATATATATATATATATATCTCAAGAAGCTACACTAAACTTTGTGTGTGTGTCTAGAATTCCTTTTTAAGTTCTCTCAGATTTTATGTGGCTGTAGTCAGCTCACATTGGTGCACCAATTTGTAGGTAGAGGCCACTTGCTCATTCCTGGCTGCCCAGACCCAAAATAATTACACAGAAACTCTATTAATTACAACACTGTTTGACTAATAGCTTAGGCTTATTAACTAACTCTTACATCTTAGATTAACCCATTTCTATTCTTTTGTATTTTACCATGAGGCTCGTGGTTTACTGGTAAAGTTCCAGGGCTTTTGTCTCCTTCAGCAGTTACATGGCCTCTCTCTGATTCCACCTCATTCAGGATGGTTTTTTTTTCTAGTTCCATACATTTACATGCAAATTTCAAGATGTAGTATTCCATTGTGTTAATATACCACATTTGCTTTATCCATTCTTCAGATGAGGGGCATCTAGGTTGCTTCCAAGTTGTGGTTATTACAAATAATCCTGCTATGAACATAGTTGAGCAAATGTCCTTATAGTATGATTGAGAATCCTTTGGGCATATAACCAAGAATAGTATTGCTGGATTTTGAGGTAGGCTGATTCCCACTTTTCTGAGAAACTGCCTTACTGATTTCCAGAGTGGTTGTACAAGTTTGCATTCCCACCAGCAATGGAGAAGTGTTCCCCTTACTCCACATCCTCTTCAGCATAAGCTATCATTGTTGTTTTTGATCTTAGCCATTCTGACAGGTGTAAGATGGAATCTCAGAGTAATTTTGATTTGCATTTCCCTGATGGCTAAGGATGTTGAGCAATTCCTTAAGTGTTTTTTGGCCAGTTGAGATTCATCTGTTGAGAATTCTCTGTTTAACTCTGAACCCCATTTTTAATTAGATTATTCGGCATTATATGATGTTTAGTTTCTTGAGTTCTTTATATATTTTGGAAATCAGTCCTCTGTCTGATGTGGTGTTGGTGATGATCTTTTCCCATTCAGTAGGCTACCTTTTTGTCTTACTGACTTGTCCTTTGCTTTACAGAAGCTTCTCAGTTTTAGAAGGTCCCATTTATTTATTTATTGTTGCTTAAAAATGCTTAGTAAGCTTCTTGGAACTTTATTTATTTTAAAGATGTATTTATTTATTACATACACAGTGTTCTGCATGTATCCCTGCAGGCCAGAAGAGGGCACCAGATCTCAGTACAGATGGTTGTGAGCCACCACGTGGTTGCTGGGAATTGAACCCAGGACCCCTGGAACAGCAGCCAGTGTTCTTAACCTTTGAGCCATCTCTTCAGCCCGGAACTTTATTTTTTATTCTTAACTATGTACCATATGTGGGTATGTGTATTTTAGTGCTTGTGCTTAAAGAGGCCAGAGGCATTGGATCCCATGGAGCTAGAGTTACAGGCAGATGTGAACTGAACAGCCGGACGGACATAGGTGCTGCCAAATGAAACCTACTCCTCTGCAAGCACAGTATGTGCTTGCAACTGCTGAATCATCTTTCCAGCCCAGCTTCCTGAAACTCTAACAAAATATGATTTCATGATGTAATGTCAGGGATGTGTTTCAAAATAGTCTAGGTGGTTGATGGAAAAATGAGTAGGGTTTAAATGAAATAAGATTGCGTTGCTACCATTAAAGCTAGATTACGGGCTGGTGGAGAGCAGGATTTGAAGTTTCCCATCATAAGGAGTTAGAACTATGCTGTGAGATACAGGCGCTAGATTTTCACGAGTGATACTGGAACACTGGCCTGGGACTTGTCATTCCTATGCTTCCTTCAGAGTGTTTGACTTCCCGTTCATTTTTGTTTTTAGGTATTAGCTCGAGAAGACATCGATGAAGCTGTGCATGCAATATTGTTCCGAGAAAACTACATCGTGAAGGTGAGTGGTTGCGTGCTGCCTTCTGGAGGAGCAAGAGTGGATGCCGTGCTCTGATGCGCTGAACATGACCAACTTAGGAGAGCAAAGGCTTGTGTTGGCTCAGAGATTCAGGGCATTCCGGCAACAGTCACTTCACATAAAGGCAGGCAGCAGTCAGAGCTGCTCACCTCTGGGCATTTAGGAAGCAACACAGGAAGCGAGGAAAGTGTGTCAGGATTTTCTTCAAAGGTCTGCTCTGGGCAACCTATCTCCCGCCTACCAGCCCTGCCTTCTAAAGTTTACAGCACCACCCCATGGCCTCATCAGCTGAAAACACAAACTAGCACACAAGTTTGGGGGCACATTTTACATTCAGACTGCAATGTTCTGTCTGAGAGACTCATTTGCAGGCAAAATGACGTGCCTCTGATTTATACCCTTGAGCTGTGTAGCCCTGAGAGGGTGCCGCTCTTTGTAGGATCACTAAAGGTCCCACATCTTGTATGGATCTGCCCTTAAGGAATCTGAGGGATCGTTTTTTAACTGCTTCCCCCTCATTGACTTGTACCAAATGGAATTCTTTTCTAACAAATTTGCCTCTTTTTCCTATTTTTCCATACTGCATTGGGAAATATTAAAACTACCAGAAATTAATTAGCATTTAAGGGTAATGACCAATTAAGTTACTAATAATCACTGTTGGATCAGCAAGCTTTAAAGGAGTTAATTTCCACCTGAAAGATAGTATTATAATAGCACTTTGACATTTTTATTGTGATTTGAATTTACAAAGTAAATGGACATTCATTCTCTCTCAACATAGTTTATTGAGTACACTGTAAGAGACAATGGGCTAGGCAGTAACTAAATCACTTGCCCATAAATTCTCATTTAAATGAAGTATCAAAAGCAGTCTTGGGGTTAACGCCTTTCATAGGTCAGGGAGCAGCATAAAAGTAAGTTCAGTGTCTTTGTTCTCCCAGTTCTGGCACAGACCTAGTGCTGGTAAAGCCTAGATAGAGAATGAATGTCTGGGCAACATTTTAACAAGAAATGAGGATTTGGTGAGTTAGGAAAGGCTTCATTGGGTTCATGAGTTGGATAACAGTTTGATCCGAAGGTGCGGTATGATTTAGAAGTTTTCATATTTTCTTCCTGGCCTGTGTTTTCAAGTTCTGTCTCTGAAGTTTATTCTGCGTTCCAGTTATTTGGTGTGAGGACTAGGCGGCATGAATCCCTGGAGCGCTTAGGAACGGGTGTTTTCTCCCTGGAGCGCTTAGGAATGGGTGTTTTCTCCCTGGAGCACTTAGGAACGGGTGTTTTCTCCCTGGAGTGCTTAGGAATGGGTGTTTTCTCCCTGGAGTGCTTAGGAACGGGTGTTTTCTCCCTCGCTAACAGAATGACAGGAACGGAGGTCTGTGATCCTTGTTGTTTGTGTTACTTTGTCAGAGAATGGATACATACATTCAGCATCAGGCAGTTTTTAAGGAAAGAAGAAAAGAGATGTTACATAAGAAATGGGTTGAAAATGTAGCGCGGCCTCTTCAGCAGAGAATTATAGAAAAAGTGGTTTCACATAGACGACCCGGACAAAGTCAAGTGAAATATGAATACTGCGCAAAGCACATGGATAAACCGGTTGGTACTGGATTTTATTGCTTCTTCTACGTAACTATGATGCCATTCTTTTTCTTGTCCTCCCATCGTTTTCTTCTCTGGCCTGATGTGTGGGTTGTCCCATCATTCTCACTGTGTGCCTGCTGGCAAGGTAGGGAGGGAGGGTGGTGCCGGGACTCTCTGAACCACTCCTTTTATCAAAAAGCAGACTCTTCAGCATTCCCTAGGCCAACGTTTCAGCTTTCAATCTTACCAGGACTGGGTCAAATGGCAATTCCTAGTTCAGAACAGGGCCGGGAGAGAGAGTTCCTATCCCTGTGGGAGGAAATGGGTGAGGGAGAAGCGGACTGCTTCAAGCCCGGGGTCAGACAGTTCTTTTCTTCGCTGTCTTGACAGAACAGCACCATTCAGTGTCTTATTTTGAAGATGTGTTTCACTTTGAGGTCAGGAACCTCTTCAGGAATTTGTGCCCTCCTAATTTGCAATATCAAATTTAAGTCTACTGGCTTTAAGTGTCCTCCTATTGGATCTTTGCTGTTTGGTTTCCTGGGTCTTTCAGCCCCAGGTATTTGCTAAACTGTAGAAGAGTTCAGACAGAACGTTAGAAACACTGGGTATCATCAAGTTCAGAAAACGTGCACTATTAATTCCCAAATGTCCTAAGAGCTGGAACTCAAGATGTAATCCAAATGTGTTGGAATCAAGGAGTGTGATCTTTCGGCATTGAAGAAGTGGAGAAAGAGGCTTATGGTTAGCCGGAGATTCCTTTTAAATGGCCTCAGTACCACCCACACCCTGACACAGGCTTACATTTCCCTAACCCCACCCCTCCCCAGAGCAGTGGGCCGTGTCCCCTCCCACTGGGAGGACTTTTCCTCCCAGACTGGTTAGAAACAGTGTTTGTGCTCCTAAAGGCTTGAACGGGTGCCTCTCACAACCAAGGTGTCACTTGCATGATTTGTTCTAGACTGAGAACGCGTGAGGTCCGAACTTGGCCTTGGCGTAGCACGGAATAGCTGAGCAAATATTATTGACTAATGCAATGGCTTAGTAAAGCTACGAATAGAAGCCGCCTCTTGCACGTGGGTCGGCCCCCTCCTTTCTCCTACCCGCCATTACAGTCCGTGAAGCATTTCCACCTGAGGCAGCTTCTCCCCCTGCGCTGTGCCTGACTTTATTCCTAAGTCTTGATCATGGCTTTGGTGGAGAAAGGCCTCGCTGACTGACGTTATTTAGGGATAGATTTGATCACTCGCTGGAAACTGCAGCGGGGGACTCAAATACTCTCATTTTCTCCTGTAGACGAAAGCCTCTCCGATGTGTGAGTGTCTGTTCCGAAGACAGCAAGAGCTCCGAGAAGCTAAAGGAACCCGCTACCAACACCGCACAGGTGCTTTGCAGCCACAGCTAAAAGTCAATCATTCCCACCCTGAAGAGCACAGGGGTTGGTTTTACAGAGTTTGATTTTGCTCTGGTGTCTTCCTGTAGAGAAACAGAACGACATGCAAAAAGAACCTAAAGGAACCAAGAAGGCTCCCCTCTTCAGCAAATCACCCAAGTTCATGCTCACTTCCCATGGCATCGTTCCCAAAGAGAGGCAGAGAGCCTCTGCCCAGCCTGTGTGGAATAAGCCCAGTCTGTGCAGGTACAGAGTAACCAGATAAGTCATTCTGAGCTCTAGGGGTTCTCCCAGAAGAGAAGAGAAAGGGAGTATCTAGGAGCCAAGGGTGTGGAAACTGTTGGTGGTTATTGAACCCGGGTGGTAGATTCAGTATATTTTTAAGCGTTTATACCAAAAGTCATTTTTGAAAGCTCTTGTGATCTCTGTGTTAACAGAACAAAGTCTTAATCATCTCAATAAATAAAGAATCAAAATAAAAAATCTAGTCACACACCCCCAAATTAGCTCATAATCAGAGAGATAGAAATTAGCTTACTTAATTTGCAGTAGAGTTCTAGAAATCATAGAGGTTTCATTGAAACACTAAATGTTTTCCCTGTGACTTCCTGAATCAGACAAAGAAACTCACAATTGCCACTTCAGATTTGTGCCAGAGACCTTAAGTAATAAGAGAGGGGAGAGAAATAAAAGGTAAAAGAAATGGGAAGCAAGAATAAAACCCTTCCTTTTTAACAGAAAATATGAGGCTCTACAAAGAAAAACTCAAAGGCTATAAATATTTTTATTTTGAGGCAGGGCTTCTCTGTACAGCCCTGACTGTCCTGAAATATAAATAAATATTAAAAATTAAAAATTGCAGTGAGGGGCTCAGGAGTCCCCACCCCTAGCTAAGAGGTTATTGACCGTTGCTGGCTTTTGGAAGAGAGGTAATAATTTTTTCTCAAGGATGTGTCCCTTGGTAAACTGACTGTTCTCCAGTGCCTGGCCCCGCTCTCATGAGCATATGGACAGCACAAATTGAATCTTGTAACATGATCGGGGTGGCTTGTTGGGGGTTTCTGTCCTGCCCCCATATCCCACAGCCGGCAAGCCCCAAAGAAAATCACACAGAGATCTCTATAAGTTATAAAGCTGATTGGCCCATTAGGTCAGGCTACTTATTAGCTTTTGTAGCTTATATTAACCCATTATTCTGATCTATGTTAGCCATGTGGCTCAGTACCTTTTTCAGTGGGGCAGATCACATCCTGCTGCTTTGGTGGTGTGGGCAGGAGTGGGAGGAATCAACTTCCTCCTTCCCAGAATTCTCCTGTTCTCATTGCACCATTTCTACTTTCCTGTGTGGTTTTCCTGCCTATATTTCCTGCCTGGCCAGTTAGTGTTTATTTAAAACATGATTGACAGAATACAGACAATTCTCCCACACCAGAATCTGATGATGAGTCCTACCTACCTCCAAATACTACTCTGGAGGCAGAATCAGGCCTAATTGAGAGCTACTTTAAGAGGAATAAAGTAAGAACTAAATTAGCCAGGCGGTGGTGGTGCATGACTTTAATCCCAGCACTTGGGAGGCAGAGATGGGAGGATCTCCATGAGTTGGAGGCTAGCCTGGTCTATGGAGTGAGTTCCAAGACAGTTAGGGCTACACAGAGAAACAGACAAGAACCAACTTAATGGGAAGATGTACCATGTTCATGGATCACAGCATGTAACATGAGGGGGGGGCCTGCTTGTTGTTGGGGTTTTTGTCTCTCCCAGCCCCCCCCAGCTGTTTAGCCCCAAAGAAAATCACACAAAGATCTCTGTAAGTTATAAAGCTGATTGGCCCACCTCCCTTTCCAGTGGCTCTAGAGGTGGCTCTAGCCTCTCACTGGCTAACTCTCACATCTTGATTAACCCATTTTTCTGATCTGTGTTAGCCATGTGGCTCAGTACCTTTTTTCAGTGGGGCAGATCACATCCTGCTGCTTTGGTGGTCTGGGCAAGAGTGGGAAGAATCAACTTCCTCCTTCCCAGAATTCTCCTGTTCTCATTACATTATTTCTACTTCCTCTCTGGTTTCCCCGCCTATATTTCCTGCCTGGCCAATCAGCGTTTATTTATAACATGATTGACAGAATACAGACAATTCTCCTGTACCAACATCACTCAAAATTGAAAACATGAAAAGTTCTAAAATCTGTCCACACATTCAGTTCAATCTGAATGAATCAGAGATATTTGTCTGGAGTGTGTGTGTGTATGTGTGTGTGTTTATGTGTATATAGAAATTGAGCTAATTCTAAATTTTATAGGACTACTTTATCAGGTATCAAACTGACTTAAAAACTGTACCAAATCAACAATTAAACCAAATTAGAGAATCAAGAAATTAAATACATATAGATACTTTATTTGTACTAAAATAAGGCTATAGTGCAGAACAAGGGGGATAATATAGGGGTTTCAATAAATGGTACTAGAAAATGAGTTTCATTATGGGGGGATTAAACTGGACTCCATTATCTATATAAAAACTAGTTCTAGTTAGGTTCTTACGTAAATTTGAGAAACAAAATCTTAAAAGTCATAGGTATCTCAGTACTTCAAATGGTCACAGTTTGAGGAGTAAGAACTCTCTCTCTTGGGAGCTGGAGAGATGGCTTGGTAGTTAAGATCATTACTGTTTCCAAGGATCCAAGTTCAAACCCAGCACCCACATGGTGGCTCACAGCTGTCTGTAACTCCAGTTCCTAGGGGATCCAATCATGCTCTCTTCTGACTTCCTTGGGGACTACATACATGTGGGACACAGACATACATGTAGGCAAAACACCCACACACATAAAAATGAATAAATAGCCAAAAAAGAAAAAAAAATAAAGAGAACTCCCCCTGGAAAGTCTCTCCTTCTTTGGCACAATATCTGCAACTGTCCTATGACTTTACAGACGTGAGCATTACGTTCCAGGTAGATTTCTTGGTTCTTTCCAGCTGTTGCTATTTCAGATCTTAAACCTTGCACAAAAGCACAAGTGTCTCACTTTTCCCTTTTTGTGAGGGGGAGGGCAGTATTTCTCATTACAACTAAGTCTGGCCTCAAGCTCTTTGCCCCACCTCTACATCTCAAGTGCTAGGACTTCTCCCTCCCTCCCTCCTTCCCTCCCTCCCTCCTTCCCTCCCTCCCTCCCCACCTCTCTCTTCTTTTTTTTCTTTTTGAGACAGTTTTTTGTTTGTTTGTTTGTTTGTTTTTGAGACAGCCCTGGCTGTCCTGGAACTTGACTTACAGACCAGGCTGGCCTCGAACTCACAAAGATCCACCTGTCTTTGCCTCCCAGTGTTGGGATCAAAGGCATGCAACACCATACCGCCTGGTGAGTTTCTTTTACTTTTAAGAGCTTTTCATTTAAACACTAACAATGACGTAACTTCTCAGTGGTGGAGAGGCCTTTTCTTGCTCTCACCCCTTCACCCCCCCCCCCTTTCAGCCCCTCAGCCAGAGCTGCCACAGCTCCTCTAGCCCCACTTTAGTCTGGCCTTTCCCACCTAACAGCTTGAATGATCACTTCCCAGTGAAAGGCTTTCCAGTGGCCTCCTCTAACCCTCTCGGCCGAGTCGGGTTCCTTACAGCTGTGAGACACTGCCTGACCCCCGCTGCCAGCCTTGCTAGAAGGCTTGAAAAATCCCCTTTCCTTAAAGCAAAGAAGTACACACTAGCCCCAGAAATGTCTGGATCGAGCCAACTGTTTACAGTTTCCCGATCTGCCAGGCTGCTGCGCACTTTGTTTCCTGTTGCCTGGTATCCTAGCCCAGGCGAGTATTACATCTTGCAGCGGCTGGCCTCAAGCGCTGGGCGGGATAGATGGCGAGTCTGCTAGACGAGGAAGGGATGGGGAAAGAGAAGGCCTATTTCCTTTGTCGGAATAGGCAGCCATGGCCGTGACTCCGCGAGGTGTCCAGAGAGCGCCCTGTGTAATGAAGGGAAGAACTAAAGAGCAGTACGCTACATTAACCAGGGGCAGTTGATGGCAAAAAGCAGAATCTTTCTCAAGTGGAAAACTTTTACATTGGAAAGTCCCCGTATATTATATAACCAGCAAGAAAGCCAGGCTGCTTGAGGGACCACGATGCCTGCCGTCTCCTCTGAGACTTCGGGTTCTCGTCATCCCTTCTTCTTGAGGCTTTCTCTGTTCTGCGCATGTGCTGCCTAGTCGATTGCACTTCTCCCTGACTTCCTGGCCTGAGTACTCACACAGGCTGCCTGTGGCCCTTCTGTTTCAATCCCAGGTAGGAGGACAGAGAGACTGCCTCAGCCACAGCTGGAGACCGGTCCCACAACTCACATGATAGTTGTGTTAGCCAGCTTCATCTGCGCCATTTGGCTTAAGAAAGGTTTATTGAACTCCTATTTTGGAAGGAAGAGATCATGATTCCATGGTCCCTCTCACCCCCAGACCTCCAACTTCATTCTTTAAAGGCCCATAGCATACCCAACACCACCACCCTGGGCTCCCAGTCTTCCCATATGGACCTTTAGAGACATTATTCCAGCTTGACCAGATGGGCGGGCTCCAGTGATGTCTAGCCAGCCTTTTCTTTTCACAAAACGAATATCGATCAAGTTCATTCAATAACTTTTTTTTCTTTGAGACAGGGTTTCTCTGTGTAGCTTTGGAGCCTGTGCTAGAACTCACTCTGTAGATCATCAGGCCAGAAATCCTCCTGCCTCTGCCTCCCAAGTGCTGGGATTAAAGGCATGTGCCACCACCACCCGATTTCAATTGCTTTTGAATTGTTCGCGCTGAATTGAGATCCCTCCCCCTTTTCTCCTCAGTTCTGAAAAGCTTGTCTGTACATCCAAGTCACATCTGCCTCAGGAAGAGAAGACCTGCAACATAAGCCAGATTGTCTTTGAAAGGCAGTTCCGTTCCTCTAAGCTCAGCCTGAAGAAGAAAGAGGCTGAGAAGAAGGGTCTGGTAAGCTGAGGTCTGGGAGTGGGGCTGGGTGACGGCATTGCAATACCCACTGCCCAGAACAGCGAGCAGAACCTGGCAGAGCCCTCCCCCGCGAGGAAGAGGGGAAAGTGGAGGCAGTGGGGGCGTTCAAGTCCTGCAGTGATCTGGTGGGTGGCCTGGCGCTCTGTCCCTCTGCCCTGCTGGGCGCTGAGCGAGGAAACACAGTGTAGGTGGGTTCAGAACACAAGTGCAGACCCGTCTTTACAAGGTGAGAGCCAAGAAGACTGGCCAGAGCTGGTTCACCAGTAACTTCAGCCCTCCTCTTTCCTGAGCCTTCCTGCCTCTGACAGTTTCTACCATTTACTATTCACTGAAAGCAGATCGGACATTTTGCTCTTAGCCAGGCCTGGTGGTGCACACCCATAATCCTAGCGCTTGGGAAGTGAGGGCAATGGGAAGACCAGGGACTGGAGAAGATGGGTAAGCTGTCAACAGTACTGGCTGCTCTTCCCCAGGACCCAGGTTTTATTCTAGCATCCACATAGGGAACCGATGCCATCTTCCGGACTCCGTGGGTACTGCATGTGTCTAGTGCACAGACAGACAAGCAGGCGAAACACTCATACACACATGGTAACATTTTTAAAAATTAAAAATAATTTGAGGCCAGCCTGGTCATACGGCAAGACCCTGTCTCAAAAAACTACCACCAGCAGCAACAAAAATTTTCTTAATTCAGTTATAATAGGCAATTTTAAAAATGAAACATGAGAAAAAGGGGTGGAGGGCAAAATGAACTTTTGCGTATTTCAAAGGGAATTTCCACACACACAGAGTTTTGCATATAGGGCTAAGGATCGCATGGGCTCCTGGCCTCTTTGTCTCCCTCTTCTCTCCCTCTGAGGCTTAGTCACAGAGCTTAGAGTCTCTGTGACTGCAGCTCATGGCACAAGGGTTTTCCCTGATCCCTGCCACACTGAGAGCTAACGACTCAGAAGTCATTACATTTATTTTCTCTATTCTTGAGAACCTCATACACGTGTACAATGAAACATCACAGATATCCCTGTTTCTCCCAACTGCCTCCAAATGACTCTCATCACAGCCCCCTCTCCAAACTCATGTCCTTGTCACTGTCCCCTCCTCCTTCCCCATAGCCCACTAAGTGTGATTAGTGCTGCCCTTAGTGGATGGTGCTGGGCCCATCCTCAGTGTGTGGGGAGCCTACCAGGGGCAACACATGAAAGCAAAGAAAAAGACTGTCCTTCCCTCAGCAGTTATAAGCTGCCAATAGCTCCTCAGTAAGACATGGGGTCTAGGGATCACTCCCCCCATCTATACCAGAATTCTGGCTGGATTGGCTTTAAATACCACGACTGCTGTGAACCCATGAGGGCGACAGCCATGCCAAGCTCACAACATGATTATGGAAGTTACAAAATAATCCCACACTAGCTCAGAATTATGTATAATAAAGAGTTATTTATTAAGGGGGGGGGACTCATAATCACTGTCCTAGATCACAGTCCGCTGCATGAATGGGGAACAGGAACCAAATCTAGCAGCTGGAAGCGAGAACCGGAAGCAAGAGAGTGAGTGCACGCTTCACAACTGCACTTGTATATAAGAGACCATGCCCAAGTGGGCTGGGATCTTAAAGGCTATTGGCTGAAGGAGCAGGAGGAGCTCCCACAGCAACAGCGCTCCTCCCAGTTATCAATCAGACACACAGATACACAGACACACACACACGTGTTTTCAGAGAGACTCACTATGTAGCTCTGGCTGAACTCACTCTGTAGGCCAGGCTGGCTTCAAACTCAGAGATCCACCAGCCTCTGCCTCCTGAGGCAGTGCCATTATGTCCAACTCTTATATTCTTCCTACTTCCTCTTCCTCAGTGTCCCATGAGCCTTGGTGGTGGTTGCCGGGGGCGGGGGGGGGGGGTGAGAATGATGACCCTTCTAGGACTGGGCACTAAATCTCTTGGTCTCAGCACTCAATCAGATGTTTTGTGCCCCAGCTCCTCCTCAGTCATGATGGTCTCAGTCTCCTTGAAAGCAGATTCTCCCTCCAGGAAGAACTACCTTTCGGTATTAATATAGGACATGGTCCTCTACAGAGCTCACACTCAACAACCGAGAAATAGCCAACATTTAAGTTAGAGTTTTTGTGTTGGACCTCATTCCTTGTACTTCCCAGTCATTGTGGTCCACAAGCCACAGACTAGACATACCTGCTGGGATAGAAGCTTACTTATACATACCCTCTTGTCTGTCTGTCGATCCCTGTCTCTTTTCACTCTCCCCTCTCTACTTTGCTATACAGAAACTTCTAGTCTGATACAGCCCACTTGTTTTAGGTCCTAATGTGGGTTCTGCTGTTATGGTAGGGGAGCCCCTGCTGTCATCATAAGAGTAAAAACATTTGAAAGAGGGTTTTAAAAGCAATGGTTTTGTTTCATTAGTGGATGGGTTAACAGGTCAACAGACTTTCTCCCTTCAGGACCTTGGGATCTTTGCTATCTTTAGCACCTGGCTTCCAAGGGACTCATTCCTGCTAACTTTCTTTCTTTCTTTCTTTCTTCCTTCCTTCCTTTCTTTCTTTCTTTCTTTCTTTCTTTCTATTTTGACCTTTTCTCCGTGTATCAGCCCTGGCTGTCCTGGAACTTGCTCTCTAGACCACGCTGCTCTCAAACTCTGCCTCCCGAGTGTTAGGATTAAAGGCGTGCACTCCCACCATTGCCCGGCTGAAAAGAATAGATTTTATATCAGGTCGGCGGTATATCTTAGTACTTGCACAAAATCTTGGGTTTAATTCCTGCCATTGAAAAGTACACGAACGTTTTTATCACTAACACAGCTGGTACAGGAAGAGCATGCACCTCGGTGATAGAACCAAAAGCAACTGGGTTCCGAGTCTCAGCAGTGTTCAGATCTTACCTGCTTGGCATGCTTATGTGGTTCATGTTGTGGAAGTACCTGAGTGACTTGAAAAATGCTGGCAGAATCAAGTCTAAAAGAACTCTGTCTCAATAAAAACAAAACAGAAGTTCCCCGTTACCACTACCCTAGCCTGCTAACATCTTTTTATGTGGGACAGGACTAAAGGCAGCACTGGGCTAGGACCACTGTCCCTAACTGTGGGTGCAAATGTGCTCAGGAAAGCAGCCCTGAGGGTCTGAACACCGTGGAGGGCAGCGCCTTGGGGACAGCTAGTCACCTCTGCCACCGTTAAGGTGGGTGGCGGTAAAGACACTGAAAGGCTCATCCGAGAACTGCAGAAACCACCAGAGAAGGGAACCTGTCAGAAAGGATAGAAGGCTTGGGGTGGGGCACTGTCTGGGGAGGGGATGCTTCCTCTCATGGGAGCCTGCTCAATCAGCATTACATCCAGCCCTTTTCTTCTGTGAACAGGTTTCAGGGACCCGACCACAGAGACCACGCTCCTGGGCAGCAGCAGACAGCCACCATTCTCAGGGGCAACCTGCTGTGGGAAGAAGGGTGATGACCGCAGAGCTCCTGGGGAAGCACCTGGCCTCCCTGCAGGGGGCAGCCAGGTCGGGCCTCCAGTGGGCATAGAGCTTCCTGCCTTCACACTGCACAGACATTTAAGACACTGAGAACACAGCTTCTCTCTAGGTAGGAAGCGGTTGCAGGAACGACCTGAGGAACAGCAGTTAGTTTTCTAAGCCCTGGCTAGGAACTAGGAAGTGTGTGTGGTGTTTTCGTTTCACTGAAAACACTTGACAGCCAGATAGCTTGAGCATCTCCTAGCACCTGGTGCTCAGTGGGGCTCTGCGCCTGGCCTGGGGCCAGTCCCCACTCAGAGAATACCAGGGCTTTATTCAAGTTCAGTCCTGCTCGCACTCCAGGGTGCGACTACCTCACAGACACTCCGGCCTGGCAGTGGGGGTTAAATTGCTCAGAGGGAGGATGCTCTACCATTGTGTGAGGCCCCCGGGGGTGGGGGGGGACACTGAAGGGGTTTAATGGGGTCTCTTCACCGAGGGGAGATATCTAGTTATGTGAGGGCTACCCACTTCCTGGTGGATGGGGGGGGGGGGTCTCCTCGCATCCTCTAGAAACTTGGGCTCACATTTCAGTGGGGAGGACAATTTGACTTCCTCAGGGGCAGTTCTGGGTTACTAGGCAAAAAAGACTGGAGTTGCTGGCTGTACCCTTTCTAGCCATCAAAGTCACATGAGTCAGATCCTGAGGGCTCCTGTGTCCCAAATCTGATCAAGGTGTCCTGACAGCTGAGAGACAGGGACACTCACTCTAGTGAGGATTAAAGTCCCCATGGTCAGGGAAAGAGCATAGACACACAGCAATGTAGACCTATTGCTGTGTAGCTATAGGTCACAAGGAACCTCAGAGCTTTAAAGCTGCCGGATTGCCGGGGAGTGTAATGTTCCACACGTGGGCTGTCAGCAGCAACTTTCCTGACTCCATATTGCTTCAGTAGCAACAAGACAAGCTCCCCAAACCCAGGAGAGTGGGCAGCGGGCTTGCCCAGCAGCCTGTGCCTGGTCCTTCAAAGCTTCCTAGAATAAGCTGGATACTGGTTGCTTCAGTTTTATGTATCAAGTAGCAGCTTCTTCCTGTTTTAACCAGCGGGTATGTGAGGTCAGCATCTGGAGTCAGAGAAGGGAAAAGTCTTTAAAATTTCAGTCCACTGAACTGTGTGTTCCAAGTGACTCAGCCAATTTAAACAAGAATGGGGAGAATGGAAGAGCCCTGAGCTCCTGGCTACTCTAGCTGCTGGAGAAAGATCTGTCACCTTTACTCTGTGATCTTCACTGGAGAATTTGTGTTCAAAATCTTAGTTACTATTTGAAAATTTTCATATTTCAGTATTCAGAAGCCAAATAAGCAGTATGGCTATGGCTATGGCAAGACAGAGGACAGGAAGTGCTGGGGCTGCTGGAGCTGCAGGGCAGCAGAGCTACAGACAGTTCTGACCTCTGCACTTCACCCTTCCCTGTAGGATGCCCCTGTCGGTGCCAGCGTAGCTCCCACGCAGTTCCCCTGCCCACAGCAGTGACCTGTGAAACCAAACCTCAGGAACCTGAGAGTCGCACAGAAGGGTCTGAGCAGGCCAGCGGTGGAGTTAAGTAGATCTCCTGGCCCAGCCATCCCTCAGGATTCTTTATAAGCAGTTTCGGAAGGGAGCTGTTAAAAGCCTTTCACACACAGTCAAGCTTTGAGAGGAGTTACATTCATAAACTTATACTTTTATTCTCTTTCTGTACATGTTGGCAATGATAAAGCTTAAAGATGCATTACTATGAAATATGCAAAACAAGGAATTTACATAAATAATTTATACTTCAGAAAATTAAAGTTGAAAAATATTCCCACATTATTTTAGAGTTCACAGTATATTTAAAGTACATCAAGCTTCCCTCCTTATATTTCAAACCGTATTGTCTGAGCAGAGAAGGATAAAATCTAACCAGAATAAAAGGATCAAGTTTCTGTTTATTCAGTGCACAAGTGGATGCTACTTCAGTATCAGGCCACACAGCCCCGCAGCTGCAGTGTTCTTCCCCAGCCCTTCCCCTCCTGAGTGCTGTGGCCCAGCAGGGCTCACGTGTGTGGACCGGTTCCAGCATCACCGACTCCACAGTGGACACATTTGCCAAGTGGTAACGCCCGGTGGTCTGATGCCTCATTTCCACATAATACTTTATAGCCCTGAAAATGGAAACCCTGGCACCTAGCGCAGCTGGACGTTAACACTAGTTACAAGGCACTGAGCTGTGGTGTTTGTCTATAGGAAAGGTCATGTTTGCATAGATGGCTAGCAAGTTAGTGTGCAGGAACATACTGGCCCGGCGTGTGGCTCTGTGATGGATGAAGCCCTGTGATGCTCCTTGGCCCAGGAGAACGTAGTCTTCCACTCTTGGACCCAGCCTGTGGGCAGCTCCCCGGTGCTGGCTTCTCCAGGCCCTCAGAGGAGAGTTTTTTGTTCAAAAAGCTGCAGGTCAAAGCGGACCCAGACTTCTCCAGTGGGGACTTCATGCAGCAGGAGCCGGCGAGTAGTAGGGCCTTTGCTTTCCTGCTCTGTTCGAATTTTTGCCACTGGAACTTCAGTACGACCCAGGAAGTCTGGGGAATAAACATCACGTGAGGATCAAGTATCTTTGTTCCTTCTAAGATTTAAAACCTTGCCGAGCAGGAGAGCCCGAAACAGGATTTAGACAGCTTTCAAGCCCTGCGTGAGGAGCCCACTGGCTCACGATCTTTGGTCCTACAGTGGACAAACGCATGGTTACAGCTCCCTATCTGTTAGCCAACAGGGAAGACAATGCTCTACCCATCCAGTACTCACTAGTGTTTCCAATGTATGCAGGCAGTGCCTGTGCTCAGAGACCATGCCCTCCGGCAAACACCCACCTCCTGCTGAAGTGAGCTGACAGGGCCCTGTGTCATTTCCTGTAGCTGTCATGGGGCGATAGCACAGTTTAGGACTCTGGATAAAGTCCAGATCCCAGACAACCGGGACCACCTTCAGGTGCCGAGTTAGACTTACCATCTGGAGAAAACTGGTCTCTGTCGAACATAGTGAGACACAGTACGTCCTGGTAAAGATCCTTGATAAAGAACTGGCAGTTGAAGTTCCACTTGGGGTTTAGCGTGTCTTGGAGGGTCCTGGTGGTATAGCTCTGGGAGCCCATGCTGACTTCACAGTATGGATTACTCTTTCCTGCACAGAGAGAGGTCAAGGACACACGAAGTGTGGTAAGGAAAGAGGGTGACCAGGGCAGGGTCTGTAGGCTGCTTCACCAGAGACCATGGCAAGAAGCACCACTACCTGGTAGGACACATTTACCTCAGAGCTGAGTAGCAGTAAGGCCCCGTGTTCCCAATGATGCCATAATCCCAGGGAGCAAGTGTAGGTTCTAACAGCAGGGCTGCTCCCCACAAGCCTGAGAAGGTGCCAGTGTGACATGCTTTGTGTATGTTCATGCATTAGCAATCAAGATGGGGGATGCTGGTTCTTACTGGGAAACAGTGAGTGATATTGGCCCAATAAACAGCTTATCAGGGTTCTAGCAACACCAGAAACACTGCCTTTTAAAAATTACCCATCATTCCACATTCAAAAGAGGTACCAGTAAAGAGCAGGGTGTTACCACATCTGTTGAATAAAAGCAGCATTTACCATTTGGTTTGCAGGCTTTTAATTCTGTAGCCTCAATGACGTGCACCATCAGACGCCCAATACCTGACGTCTTCTGAGAACGTGCTACAAAAGAGGAAGAGAGTGGTGTTAATTTCTCTGAGAACGTAGACAGACACCACAGTGAGGAAGCAATGCTGCAGGGCGGCAGTCTGCTCTCGCACCCTCTGTCTCCACCCTGGAGACTGAACCATGTTAGGGCGTGTCCCACCAGCGGCCCTGCTTCCAGCCCTCACTGTGTGTCACTCCGTCTAGACCACGAGCCCCAGGCCAACGCTGCTGTCATCTGCTGCTGCTGGCGAGCTAGCTTCTCCCAGGCGGCCATCTGCTAGGGATGCCTTTCTGACTGTCTTTGCCCGTCAGGATCCGAGTCATCCTGAGATCCTGGTTAGTCTCGGTCAGCTCAGCCTCCTTCCCTCTGTGTACCACTGCTGTGTAGCCTTGACTGAGGCCTGAAATGTTGTACCCTGCCAGTCTCCTTCCTCCACCGGGAGAAGCAACTGTGTGCCACGTGGACTGCTTATCTAGGCTTCGTAACCACAAAAATGCCTATGAATAGTAATATTAATTTTAAAATGCATCTGTTTGTCCAGTACTTCTGGCAAATAACATGTACTGGTTACTCCATGTTAGGCATGTGCTAGATATAATATGGATTATATTTAATTCCATAATTGCCTTATAAGGTAACTCCTGTTTAATAGGTGAGGAAAACTGAGTCTTAGGAAGAACCCTGTGCTCAACTCACAGGTTTTTAAAGGCCAGGGTTTCATTCTAGCCCAAGCTGCTGGCCTTGAACTTGGAATCCTTCTGTTTCAGCGACCTGACTGTTCAACTCAACAGTTTCCCCCTTTTGGCTTTTCATTTTGAGACAGAGACTCACTGACAGCCCTGACTGGCCCAGATCTTTCTCTGTGGACCAGGCTAGCTTTGGACTTGTAGAGATCTGCCTGCCTCTGCCTCCAGAGTGGTACGTCTAAAGGTGTGAGCCACCACACCTGCCCCAGAGTTTTTAAATGGCAAGGTTAAAAGGAAACATCAGTTAAAGTGTGAACCACTCGTGCCAACTTCAATGACACGAAGGACCCTGGTCTTGGTGAGCAGTTTGTTTCAGGTTTCATGTATTTGGAGAGGTTCTGAAGCTGTTTTAGTGTGGGCAGAAGTGAGTCCTGTGTTCACACTGCTGGCGAATGTGAGGTTTGGAAGCAGAAGGAATGCTTGGTGTCTGGGCCTGTGCAGCCTTCCCACCTTTCCTCCTTCAGGTTTTCTGGTTTTTATTTTCTGTTTGTTTTTTTTTTTGACAAGTTATCGCTAGTATCCCAGGCTGCCAGGCCTCAGTCTTGAGGGCCTCTTGCTTCCATTTCAGAGGTGGGTAGCCTTGTCTGTAAGCAGTGCTCTCCTCCCTGATGTCCCCATGGAGCATGCTCTTGTTCC